ACTAATTTGAGGGCACTTAACATCAAAAACGGGCTGCGAACCTTAAGGTCAGCGGTTCGAAACTACCAGCTGCTCCGCGGGAGAAAGATGAGGCTTCCTACTCCCGTAAAGATTTACACCCTCGGAAACCCTGTACAGGGTCGCTATGGGTCGGAACCGACTCGACGGCACTTAACAACAACAAACAACAACAATTTTTAAGTTGGTGATTTTGTATGGCCCATGGATGACATTATAAATTTTGGTTCCCTGCTGTAGGACAGAGGAGAACTGCCCCAGAGGGTTCCGGAGGCTGTCACCTTTAAGGAAGAAGCTCACTAGGTTTTCCTCATACAGAGCGGCTGGTAGCATCAAACCGCCAACCTTCTGGTAAACAGCCAAGTGCTTGACTACTGTACCACTAGGGCCCCTTAGAAGAAAGGTGTCATAGAGCAAACCTGGCATGTGTTGTTGTTGTTGTTAAGTGCTGTTGAGTCAGTTCTGACTCAATAACAACCCTGTATAGGGTTTCTGAGGAGCGGTTGGTGGGTTTGAACTGCGGATCTTGCAGTTAGCAGTCCAGTGCTTATCCTGCACACCACACCAGGACTCCTCAGCATGTATTGAAGCCACCTAAATGTCATTTCAGGAATCCCTTGGGGACGCAAACAGTTAAACTACTAACAGTAAAGTTTGTGGTTCAAATCAAACCTGATGTTTGGTGGGTCTTAAGCTTGCTCAGCCAGTGGAGTGCGCTCTGCTCTGCGACACATGGCCGGAATCAATGTGACACACCTGGGTTCACTGAACATCATCTCAGTTGATCTGATTTGACAAGAGCTTGTATCATTTGCATAACCAGGGGCATCGCTAAACTGCATTGACGCAGATGCTAACCAGTGAGTATCACCGTTGTGTCCCCATTCCCTTAGGGAGACAATGTCGTCCACCTTGCCTACTGCATTAGAACCATGATGTGTTGTTGTTGTTGTGACATGCTGGTGAGTCGGTCCCGACCCTGTATAGCATTTCCAAGGAGTGACCGGTGAGTTTGAACAACTGACCCTAAAGGTTCAAAGTGACTTTGCAGTCTGGCGCATTAACCCGCAGCACCACACCAGGTAGCGTAGTGGTTACGAATCGGGCTGCGAACTGCAAGGTCAGCAGTTCGAAACTACCAGCCGCTCTGCGGGAGAAAGATGAGGCTTTCTACTCCTGTAAGGATTTACATCCTCGGAAACCCTGTACAGGGTTGCTATGGGTCGGAACCAACTTGACGGCACTTAACAACAACAACAACAACAACAACCACACCAGGGCTCCATGAACTATTGTCGGCAAGGACACAAAGAGAAATCCGCCTCTTCTCTGTGAGCAGAACTGGTTTGTAGCTGCTAAAACGAAGGATTACCACAGCTTTCTCAAATAACATGCACATACGTAGAATGTGGTGTGTAGAAAATTAATGTCCAAGGGGGTTGTGTGATTTGCAACAAAACAAAACAACGCCATATAGCCCATGCAAGCCTTGTATAAAAATACAGTATTTAATCTCTTGAAACTTTAGGGGGCGTGGTTCTTAGTCTGCATGCTTGCTTTCTTGTCTCGGACTAGAGCCGTTTAAGGTTTTGAAAAACAACAAATAACAAACTCACTTGTATGCAATCTTCTCTGTGTCTCGACTTCTGGTCTCTGCCCCTCCCCCAGCTTCCTAGACCACGCGTTTGCCTGATGGAAGATAAGCCGGTCCCTTCCATTTGACAGGGCCTCCACTTTATCTCCAACATTCCACACTCCCGTTGATAAACCCATGTCAAACCCTGCTTTCTAGTCCTCCAGACCAGGAAGGATAGAGACTTTGGACTCTATTTCAAAGCAATTCTTATGAGTAGATTATAGAAAAAAACCCCAAATAAATAAAAATTGGGGTAGGTGTGGTGTATGGGGAAGGGAGTGAACAGCAAGCCCTTTTATTGATTTATTGACCCAATATTCATAAGTATCATTATTATAATTGGTTATAAAGAATGGATAAGAACTAGCATGATCTGAAGCGTCCAGGTCTGGCGCTGTAGGAACAGCACTAGACTGCTAACTGCAAGGTCAGAGGTTCAAACCCACTAGCCGCTCCTCAGAAAACCCATAGTCTCTGTGAGTTGGAACCAACTTGATGGTACTTAACAACAACATCACTATTAAGAACCCAAGCCCGTTGTTTACATGAGGGTTCAATGCTTTGGATTTGGACGAACGCACGATGTTCTGGAACCACCACGCTAAGACCATACGGAATAACTTCACTGTCGTAACAATGCCTATCCCCTTCCCCTCCTCTTGAACCCTGACAACCGTGGATGGTTTCCTCTCTCTAGTTTTTGGTGGCGCAGCGGTTTAAGAGCTTCCTCGGCTGCAAACTCAAGTCTATGATTCAAACCCATCATCTGCTTTGTGGGAGAAACTGATGTGGCAGTCAGCCGCCACATAGATGACAGTCTCGGAAACCCTCTGGGGCAGTTCTACTTGGCACACATGTGATCCAATGGACTTAACCATAACCGGCAAAACAGGCATCACTGCCGCCAAGTTCCTGCCTTTTCCAGAACGTCACATGGTTGCAACTACACAATATGTAACCTTGTGTGACTGGTCCTCACTTGGCAACAGGCATTTAAGGTTCTTTCGTGTCTTTCTGTTGTTGTTATGTGCCGTGGAGTTGGTTCCGATTCATAGCGACCCTGTACCAGGTTTCCGAGGCTATAAATCTTTACCGGAGCAGAAAGCCTCATCTTTCTCCCACGGAACAGCTGGTAGTTTTGAACTGCTGACCTTGCGGTTCGCAGCCCGATTCGTAACCACTACACTACCAGAGCTCCTTATCTCATCTCTTTTTCTCACTGAATGAAACCCAATCGCACGGATTGTTGTATTCATTCACTCACCTAACAAAGGGCATCGTGGGTGCTTCGAACTCTTGGCAATTATGAATAGAGCTGCTATCAGCAATCGTGGGCAGGTTTTTGTGTGGCCCTAAATCTTCAAATCAGCTGGATAAATAAACACCCAGGAGTAAAATTGCTGGATCATGCCACGTGGCAGACATGAATTGTATTTTCGGACCCACAATGCATTTGTAGACACTAAGGGAATCCCGTTATATTTCTGCCCAATGCATAAGTACAAGTGAGGTAACAAATGAGACCATCCAAGTCTTGACTCACCACAATTCTTCTCGTCACTGCCATCGGCACAGTCTTCATCCCCATCACATTTCCACAGCTGCGTAATACAGCGACCATTGGTACACTGGAATTGCGAGCCTTCACATTTGGGTCTTCTTCCTAGAATCAGAAGGAACCACTTAGCTATGCAGGAATCCAAGTCAAGTAAGTTAGAGATGTGAGCTGCCCAAAGCCCACCGCCAGGGGTACTCTTGGAGGGGGAGCTTCTGACTTCATAGGTGGTAACATTCCAGAGGCCAGAGTTGGAGGGATCTGGAGGCCGTGACAGACAGTAATTGCATTTTCAGCTGGGCATGTGACATCTAATATAGACTAGATTTCCCAGCCTCTCTTGCAGCTTGTCAGGCTAATGAAATGAAACCGGAAACAGTGACGTACAACTTGTAAGAAATAGGTTTAAATACAAAGGGGTTCCATTCTGCTTCCCATGATTCTTTTTTGCTTCCTGGAAATTGGGCCAGTGCAGCCAGACCAAGATAGAAGGAAATGTGATCTGTGCAGATGTCCAAGGTACCTTAATCTGCCTTTGCATTGTTTTCTCTCATTTGTTTAAACTACTTCAGTAGCTACAATCACAGGGCCAAATCCTAACTCTTTCAGAGCCTTTCTTGTCCGCATTCCTTGCGCTAGATTGCAAAGCCATTTGAACTGCAAGGGCGGTGGCTGTAGCTCACTAGCTGCTCCTTGGAAACCCCATACAGGGTTGCTATGGGTTGGAACCAACTCGACGGCACTTAACAACAGCAACACGTCTGTTACAGTTTAAGTTAGGAAACTTAGCAGGGAGAGCAAGGAGAAGGTTTAGAAGGTTTCAAGTTTTTACCCATGGCTCCTGGTCTTAGACCTTCAAGTCTGTTGGGAAAGGGACTTATCCACAAAATAGCCCCAGGTGAGATCAAAAGCATCCAAGAGAAAAATAAAAACAAAGTACAGATAGCGTTAAGAGGCAAAGAGAGATTGTTTCTAAGGTAGAGATGGGAGTCCAGAAAGTCACAAAGTACAGTGGAATCCCAGACCTGGATTTAAGTTCTCGGAACTTCAGGTTTTCTACGCTTGATGCATCAGTTGCTGCCGAGACAACTCTTGGCAACCCCATGGGTGTCAGAGTAGAACTGTACCCCGTTGGGTTTTCAGTGGCTGAGTTTTCAAAAGGAGATTGGCAGACCTTTCTTCCCAGGTGCTTCTGGGTACACTCGAACCCCCAGCCTTTTGGTTATCTAGTGGAATGCACGCACAGTTTGTACCACCCAGCTAGGCTTGGCTGGAGGTACAGATATTGAACTCTCACAGTATTAGGAACAAATCCCTGTAAGTAGGACACCTGGCGTTTTGCCTGGCGTGTGGCAGCTCACAGGCAGGTATTTTGTATCATTAGCGGGTCTGTCCTTCAGTGGCTGTCTGTGACTTTGAGATGAAAGGCGCAGATCTGATTGCGTAAAGCAAACTGACCACAGATCTTCAAAAAGCAAAGTCTGTTGGTAGAACATGGTCCCCGAGGATTACTCAGGACGGCCTTTCAGATGGCCTGCCACCTCTTAGCCTCTGCAGCTGTGTCAGGCAGGCGTACGGAAGCCAACAACAGTGTCAGGCACAGACTGGGGACTCTTGTGTGGACACACAATACTGCAGTCTGTCCCCTTGTATCAGCTACTCCCTGCTGTCTTGGAGCCTTCTATGTTCTGTGGCTAATTCTCTATGGGATTAAAACTGGGCCTGAATCAACTTTACCATATGGGTGTGGTTGCCTCCCTTGGTACGAAATCTGTTGCTTTGAAAACATTATTAATCACTCTGCCCCCAAGAATTAAGCTGGAGTCCAGATCAAAAGACGTGGTTGTTAAAAGCTGTTGAGCTGGTACCCACTTATAGCAACTCTGTATCTGGTTTCCAAGGAACGGCTGGTGGGTTTGAACCCCCAATCTTAGGGTTAGCAGTCCAGTGATGAGCCTACAGCATGACACCAGACACAAAGATAGCTAGATAGGTACACAATACATACATATCTACATATATGCATACATAGAGGGAGGTGAGTGTGGTTGTGAGCCACCAAGTCGGTTCTGACTCATAGCAACCTGCACAGCGTTTCTATAACTGTACATCTTTATGGGAGAAAGCCTCATTTTTCTTCTGTGGAGAGACAAGTAGATTTGAACTCCTGACTTTGCAGTTAGCAGCTCAGCTATAATCCAGTACGCTACCAGGACTTCTTATACACACACACACACACACACACACACATACACACACATGTATGTTTGCTGTTGTTATGCACCATGGAGTAGGTCCCAATTCATAGTGACCCTGCATAGGATTTCTAAGGAGCAGCTGGTGAATTTGAACCACCAACCTTGCAGTTCAAAAGGACCTTATGGTCCAATGCTTATCTAACAGCACCATACAAGGACTCCATATACATGTGTTGAATAACCACTGAACTGCTAACCACAAGGTCAGTGGTTCAAACCCACTAGGAGCTCATTGGAAATCCTATATAAGGTCACTATGACTTGCAACTGACTCCACAGCAAAAAACAAGATATAGATATAAATAAATCCAACAGTTGTCTGTCAGTCTGTCGTACTATGGTGGCTTGCGTGGTGCTGTGATTCTGGAAGCTATGCCGCCAGTATTTTAAATAGCAGCAGGGTCACCCATGGTGAACAGGTTTCAGCTGAGCTTCCAAACTAAGACAGACTAGGAAGAAAGAGAGATGGACTACTTACAAATATTTAGGCACTGAAAACTTTATGAATAGCAGTGGAGCATGGTCAGCATCAGAATATTGAGTATTGAAACATGATGAAGAGCACCAGAATACTGTCAGAGACAGTGACAGAAAATGAGCCCTTCAGGTTGGAAGAGACTCAAAATACAACTGGGGAAGAGCTGCCTCCTGAAAGTGGAGCTGACCGTGTATGGCAACAAAAAATGAGTAAAGCTTTCAGACCCGTCATTCGCTGAGAGGGCACAACTCAAAATCAGGAGAAACAGCCGCAAATATCCTTTAATAATCAGAACACGGAATGTACAAAGTATAAATCTAGTAAAATTGGAAGCTGTGAAAAATGAAATGGAATGCAGAAACATCGATATCCTAGGCATTAGTGAGATGAAATGGACTAGTATTGGCCATTTTGAATCTGACAATCTCATGGTTTACTATGCTGGGAATGACAAATTGAAGAGGAATTTGTTGTTGATGTAGGTGCCATCGAGTCAGTACCGATCCATAGCGACCTTATGCACTACAGAACGAAACACTGCCTGATCCTGGGCCAACCTCACTATGGATTACATCTCAATGTAAAGAAAACAAAAATCTTTACTCACCACTGGACCAATAAGCAACATTCTTATCAACAGAGAAAAGACTGAAGTGGTCAAGGACTTCATTCTTCTTGGATCAACTATCAACACTCATGGAAGCAGCAGTCAAGAAATCAAACGATGTATTGCATTAGGCAAATCTGCTGCACAAGACCTTTTTAAAGTGTTGAAGAGCAAAGATGTCAGCTTGAGGACTAAGGTGTGCCTGACCCAAGCCATGGTATTTTCAATAACCTCATATGCATGTGAAAGCTGGACACTGAATAAGGAAGACTGTAGAAGAATTGATGCTTTTGAGTTATGGTGTTGGAGGAGAATATTGAAAGTGCCATGGGCTGCCAAAAGAACCAATAGATCCTTTTGGAAGACGTGCAGGCAGAGTACTCCTTGGAGGAAAAGATGGCAAAACTTTGTCTCTCTTACTTCAGACATATTGTCAGGAGGGACCAGTTGCTGGAGAAATATATCATGTTTGGTAAGGTGGAGGGTCAGAGAAAAAGAGGAAGACCCCTAACAAGATGGATTGGTCAAGTGGCAGCATTGATGGACTCAAGCGTGGCAACAGTAGTGAGGTTGGCCCATACCATCTCATTAATCATCAAAAACACCATTTCAACATCTATCTTGAAGTAGAATGCTGTCTGTGATAGGGAATATTTGTATACCTCCAAAGAAGACCAGTTAATACAACTATTATTCAAATTTATGCAGCAACCATAAAGTCAGTGATGATGAAGTTGAAGAATTCTATCAACTTCTCCAGTCTGAAATTGATCAAATATGCAATCAATGTGTATTAATAATTACTGCTGCTGGAATGCAAAGGTTGGAACAAAACAAGAAGTATCAGTCATTGGAAAATATGGTCTTGGTGACAAAATCGATGCTGGAGATCACATGATAGAAGTTTGCAAGACCAATGACTTCTTCATTGCAAATACCTTTTTGAAACAACATAAAATATGAGGACACACATGGACCTTACCAACTGGGATACACAGAAATCAAACTGACTACATCTGTGGACAGAGTCAGAGGAATAGCTCCATATCATCAGCCAAAACAAGGTCAGTGACAGACTGTGGAACAGACATCAATTGCTTGTATGCAAGTTCAGGCTAAAACTGAAGAAAATTAAAACAAGTCTAAAAGAGCCAAAATATGAGCTTGAACTATGCCACCTGAATTTACAGATTACCTGAAGAATAGATTTGATACATTAGACACTAATGACTGAAGACCAGAAGAGTATGGGATGACATCAAGAACATCACACAGGAAGAAAGCAAAAGGCTATTAAGAAGACAAGAGAGAAGGAAAAGATCAAAAGGACGTCAGAAGAGACTCTGAAACTTGCTCTCCAGTGTAGAGATGCTAAAACAAATGGAAGAAATAAGGAGGCAAAACAGTGGAATAGAAAATTTCAAAGGTCAGATTGCGAAAACCAAGTGAAATATTATAATGAAATACTCAAAAGACCTGGAGTTGGAAAACCAAAAAGAAAGAAGATGCTCAGCATTTCTCAAGCTGAGGGAAATGAAGAAAAACTTCAAGCCTTGACTAGCAGTATTGAACAACTTAATGGGCAAAATACTGACTGATGCAGAAAGCATCAAAAGAAGTCACTGTACCAAAAAGAAATGGTCTAGGTTTAACCCTCTCAAGAGTCAGCATATGATCAAGAGCCAAAGATACTGAAGGAAAAAGTTCAAGCTGCACTGAAGGCCTTGGCAAAGAACAAGGCTCTGGGAATTGACAGAACACAAAT